AGAGGGGAGGATGACGAAGCTTGAAAGTTGTCAGCAGTCATTGAACATGGAGTCAGATGCTGTTTTCCACCCTAGCTAGAATCACTTGAATTTACACAACAGTGAAACTGGACACCTAGTCTTCCCCCAGACAACTTGCATTTCCTGCTTCGCTTTCTCACCCCACCATCTACCAGACACAAAATCCATAAACATGAACACTGTCCAGATTCCTTACCCTCCCTCGTCACCAAAGGCCATCCCTTCCACCTTCCAGTCATCTCAAAAATCCCACTTTCCTCCACCTCCTCTCTTCTTGCATCAGGAAACTATCAGAGGCTGACCTATCTGAATCTATCAGTCCCAGAAGCTGCTCTACCTGGGCTTAAATACAGAATCCACATCCGCTCTTTCCTGGTTCAGTGATTTGGAGAACAAACTCAAAGAGGTTTTGGCAGAGAATAACAACAATCTGTGGGTACACTGTATGTGCCTTTGCTGCCAAACCCAACAAGATGTTTCTAGAACACAGGCGGTGTGCGTGAGACCGCACACTGCTTTAACATTCTTCCTTCATATAGTCCTCATAGATATTGATCCCTACTGACTATAGGACTTATCTTTGCTCCTGCAGATTCCAAAAGCAATCCAAAATTCAACTTATATCTACCAAGGCTTAATAAGGCACAGCTCTGGATTTATCGAAACAAATACCTGTCTTCAAAGAATTGGTAACCAATGATACCTTCCTAAAAGTAGCCCTTCCTCCTTTTTTCTGCATTCAATTTATGTGATATAATTATCATTATAATTAATGGATTCCTGCTGTGCAGGTTGGAAGGGCTGAGCCCAGCAGGTCCTTGGCCACAGATGGTTCTTGACCACAGGACATACCTACTACATGCCACCTCTCCTGAACCTTTGCTGGGGAGCATCTGCTCCCACACTGTCTCAAGAGGTAGGAGTGGGGAAGGCTGTTCTCAACTCAACCTGCCCTCTGCTTTCTGGGAGACAGTCTTCTCGAAGGCTCTCTGTCCAGTCCTATGATATGAACTTTAGCTGCCCTGCTCTGGATGTTTGAGGTTTTCAGCATCCCTTTTAAAGCAGGTGCCTGCAAAGTGAACACCATTCTTCATGGGGAGCTTGATGGGACCAAGGATGCTAAGGCTGTTATCACTTCATTCTAGACATTTTATCCTAAGGCCCAACAGTTTTTTGGGCAGAAAAGTTTCAGTTGTTGGCTCCCTATCAGCTTGGTGTCACTTAAAAGCCATTGCCCACACCATCACCACTCCATCCCTCCACACTGACCCCCTTGTAGATTTTACTGCTGACTTTTCTTCAGCCCAATCTCAAGAACTTCCATGTATTCCATTGTGTCTCTTCTGGTGATTCTGAGCTTGTGATTTTTTTTAATCTCCTCTTTCTATCCTGATTTAATCCTTTTCTACTTTGATCATTCCAGAATTGATCAGTCTCCTTTGAGTGAAAATCATTGATGCTATCTCAACATGGAACTCACCCTCCATTTAGCGGTGGGAAAATGAGGACAGCAGCATAAAACCTGCTGTATGAAGCGACTACCAACAAAATTTCCCAAAGCCTCTAGGGCTGCCCTGCTGTTTTCATTGCTGCAGCCAAAACAGACTGTCCTGGGCATGGGGCCTGATGGATGTGTTTCATTATAATTAATGTGGGGACTGGTATTTAACCAGGATCTCATTTCCCTACTTCCCTCCCCTAAAATACCAGAAATACACTCCTACCAAAAAGGGATGGTTTTCTGATGTGCCAGGCATTTCTGAAAAGGACAAGGTTTACTGCTCAGACCGTTTTGACGTTTGAACAGAAATACTGCGATGGCATTTAAGTCTCTCTGCTGCCTGCCAGGTAGCCGCACTCCAGGAAACAAAACAACCTCCTCAGGCTGTTGTGTCTCTAACCTAAAGGCATGGCCCTTTCCCCTGAGGTATGGGGTAGGGAGTCTGGCTTGGCTGGAGGACAGAGTGCATGGCGAGGAGTCTTGTAGCCACCAAGTTGGACCACGTTATACTGTGAATAACCTACAAAGCGAAGCAATGGAAAGACCCAGTGGTTACTGAGCTTCATTTGGTGCAGAAGCAACTTCACAGACATTAAGGCAACTGTAGCTCAGAGCCCTCTGTGAGACAGTTGATGTAGCAGAGTGCACCCCCACTTTCTGACAAGAGGCTTGGATGCAGGTGCATGAAGATTTTTGACGCCTCCTGAAAAGGATTCGTCCCTCAGGAAGAATAGCAATCCTCAAATGAATTCAGGGCTGCGGGGCCAGGGTCAATGTATCACGGTATTTTCATGCTCTGCATACTATGCTTCGTTAATTATCTCCAAGCCACACCCTCATGAACTACAGTGCATAAAGTTTCAAGGACTCATTTCCTATCACCTCTCAGGCACAGAAAGAGTCCAAGAGGCACCACACCCATGTCACAATGGGGTGGATGGCTGGTCTGCTCGCAAAGGCGATGGCACTTTCAGGGGTTTCAGGATTGAGTTGGTACCCCAGCTCTCAGAGTCACTGGCCGCCCCACTGTCATCCAGCTGCCACCTTGGCACTGTCCCCCTGACCACACCATGTGCCAGCGCCAGGAATAGTGTGTACCAGTAACTGTGAAGGATGAGGGCCTCCCTGGTGGAGCAGGGATTAAAGTCTCAGCGCTATCGCCAGCCACTGCAGTGCGAGTTCAATCCCCGGCCAGGGAGCTGACCCACAGGGCACAGCAGACCTCTCCTGTCTCCCCGCTATTCCCCTCAGCAGTGTGTTTCAGTGGAGCTCTGTGTGTCTCCTCTGTCTATTCCCCACTCTGTCTCTGGTGCCTCCTCTCACCCCTGCATGTCTGGCCTGCATCCCTGTTCTTATATGCATAAATAAAAATAAATCCTTTTTAAAAAAATGTGATGGGTGTGCACTAGTACATGTTGGAGTGGAGGGGAAGACAGAGTCCTGATCTGTAGCATTTGCCGGTTTCTGTGGTGTAAATATTTGCACCACAGTCGATGGGACTACTGACAGGACACGACTCAGAGGACAGGAGCGACATGCAGCTGCCTGGTGCCATGTGGCATTTCCACAGGCTACAACAGACATGACCCCAAGAGCACAGTGATAGTAAAATGTGGTGAAATAATTAGGAGGTGATGCGTTTTATTCCTATATATTCCTTTTATTTTCAACATAATCTATTTAATTGCAACTTTACATAACCCATTTTTAACAATAGCTATATTTAACAACTGTTTGGCAGAATCCCTAAAAGATGTCATGATCACTCTCAAAAGCCAGGAAGAGCCAGCTCTGGCACAGCACTGACTGGGAAGGAAGAAAACGTGGGCATCCCATGTGTGCAAGTGACCCAGCTGCAGCCCAGGGAGACACTCTTGAGCTGCCTGGGCAGAATTTAACTGGAGCAGAATTGATCACAGAGGGGATGGCACACAGTCCGGGAGGGGCAATTTTGTGGCCAGGTTCACTCTCTATTTCTGAGCACCGGAAGCCACTGAAACCCAATCCAAGGTGTCAATACAAAGGCCTTTTCCCTGGAAAATGCAATATCCAACTACTTGCACCACAAGTGAAGCTCCTAGCAACAGGGAAAGACGGTTCCCTGTCTCCCCTGGAGCAAAAAAACAAAACACATCCCCATCTCTCCTTGCCCATACCTGGCTGTGCTGGCTCATCAGTCCCCTACACAGCTCATCTTCTCTGCTGAGGGTGAGGCAAGTCACAGATGCCTCCTCCCACACCTGCCTCGTTGAGCCTCTCCCAGACCTCAGGAGCACAGGTACCTGTGAGGTATGGCAGCTCTGGAGTCTGATCTTCAGGTACCAGAGCTCAGTCTGGAGCAGAACAGCGCAAATCCGGGAAAAGAAAGGGTTATGAAATGAATATGTGCAATGACACAGCGTGAGTGCAATTAATTGTTGTCAAAGCATTTTGCTGGCTGCATTCATCTCTTATGGAGGAGAACAAAACTGTCATAACGGTGACAACTTTATTCAACAGTGGTGCAATTATCAAACCTAAAAATAGGAAGCAAAGAGGAGATTTTCTTGAGAGGGCTGAGCTCTGTTACCCATGTGGCACGCCTGGGACAGTCCACCCTAGGATTGAGGGAGGAAAGAAAGGAGGTTGAGATTCATTGAACATCGCCATGTGCTACTATGAGAAGCCTTTCACTGTTTTAATCTTCCCTTCAGTTCTGTGAAGGGAGGGAGAATGGAGCGGACCTATGAGCACCAAGATTTGCTGAGCCCCCGTGATAAGACGCTCTCGGTATCAGCAAGACGTACATAATTTACTGTGACTATCACCCCCACGCTCCAAAGGTGATATAGTAGCCACCACCCTCTCCTCCTCCCAACCCCCCAGTTTGCAGAGAGGACAGCCGTCTCAGGCAGGGTAAAGGGTTTGCACAACTCAAACCCTTCTGATTAGCAATCGTTTATACTCTGAGCTGGGTGCGTCGAGCAGAGCCACATTCTAGGACAGCCCCTCCCCAATTATTTTTTTTACCCCCTTTTCTCTGTTTGCAGATCCCATTGCCCCTTCTGTGCCAAAACACCCCTCTGGAAATGCAAAAATAGCCAAGGTCCTGGGATCCAAAGACTTGACTTGGAATCTAGGCTCCATTATTAGTAATGGTGACATGGGTCACATTTGTGTGACCTCTGTAAACTTTAGGACTTCAAATATACTTTAGGATTTCAAATATGCATTGAGGACATAACAGTTTCCACCTCCTAATATTGTGACCGTAAGTGACCATCATTTTCTTAAAGATTTATTTATGCATACAGAACTGGGGTACTGATCAGAGGTGTGTGTGGGATGAGAGGATTCACCAGAGACAGAGTGGGGAGCAGAACAGGCAGATGCACTGAAACACCCTCCTGAGGGGAGCAGCAGGCGGGCGAGGAGAGGTCTGCCACGCTAGGTGGGTCACCTCCCTGGCTGGGGATCGAACTCAAGCTGTAGTGGCTGCCCCAGCTTCACAGCACTGAGCTTCAGCCCACTGCACCACCAGGAAGGGCCCCCCCGCTTCACCATTTTATGCAATAAAGAATAAGACAAAGATGGTCAAGCAGGAAAAATTGTGAGCAGAGGCAGGCCTGAGTTTAAATCCCAACCATGGCTACATACACAGCTTACCAGCTGTGGCCTGCTGCCAGAGACTTGTCTTTTGGGAGTTTCTTTCTCTGGGAACAGATAGCGTGGGCTTCCTGGCACTGTCATGAAGATCAGAGTCCAACACCACAGAGTACCTGCTATTACTTCTCCGCTCACCACAGTGTTTCGCAGTGTTGCGCCCTGGTCTGCTTAGCTCATGCAGGGAAGACTTGCCTCCCCTGAGTTGCATCTGTAAGATGGGGCAAGAATAACCAGCCTGCTTTGGGGAGTCAATGTGAGATTGTGGGAGATCAGGCCACGACACAGCATACCATGGGCCAGGTAACCACTGCAAGTATTTCCCAGTCACAACTTGTAAAAGGGAAATATTTGGAGGTTTCTCTTCCATCAACCTAAAAAGTGCCCAAGAAGTACCTGCAAATTGCCTCAGAGAAGACCCTCCCTGAAGAAAGGAAGGCTGGGGCTGACACAGAAGGAAAAGAAAGTCAGGCATGTCCTCTAGAGCACTTTCTTTAAAAGTAGTCTTTTTTCCAAAAATTCAATGCTAAGCCAGGCTTGCCATGACCCTGAAACAGCTCATCAGCTCCCAGATGTGGTGGAAAGAAGATGGGGTTAAGCCTGGCCACACGGGTTTGCAGGGGGTCTGGGTCTGTGGAGCTAAGTCAGTTACCCTCTCTGAGCCAGCTTTTAGAAAGTGGAGGCATAGTATCACCGCCATAGGACTGTGAGGAGGCCAGCGCGCAAGTCTGCAGGGTAATAAAGCACGAGGAAAGTGGGTTTGGTTATCACACCCCGCTAAGTCACAGTAAACTGAGCCCCTCAGGGTGGTGCTGATCACTGTGACCTCCTCCTTTATCGCCCTGAATTTGCTATTTTAGTTTTAACAGCCTTTGTGTGCCTGTGTTTGCTGCTCTAAGTCACCATAAATCTTTTTTAAAAGAAGCAAAGTATAAAAATAAAATAGCTCCTACATAAGAAGCAAAGATGGACCCTCTCCCCCCTCCCCCATTTATGTTATTGTGACACTTGTGGGTGAGACTGAGGTCTGCGGCCTGGAGCCCTGGGCCATTTCTCTGGATGAAGAGACTGGAGTCCGGAGGTGAGTCGGCCAGCCCTCAGGGTACTCTGGCCCCCTAGACACAGCTACCCTGCCAAGGTAAGGGTGCTGGCCACAGGGGTCTTTGGGCATCCCATCTGCTCCCCCGCAGCTCCCCCAGCTGCTTCCCTTGTCCTCTCAAGTTTTCCAGTTTTATACCTTCAGCCTCAGAACAGAAATCTGCATCTTGTTTCCTGTAGAATTTTTAGAAACAAAATGCCTTTTTGAAAACTGGCTATTTCTACCTACTCACCAACCATACGGAGACAAATGGAGCCTGTAATGGAGTTTAAATGAGACAGCCAGGTAGGCGAGACACCCAAGTTGTTGCTGCATTTTAAACATAGCCCACAACGCGTTACACAAACACCATTCATAAACCTGAATCACAGGTTTCAGATGGGAACTAGGTACATGTATAAATAGCCTGTGCGTGTCAAACACAAAAAAAAGGGATGTTGAAAGAAAAAGGTCAAAATCAATGTGGCCAATCGAACCATCATAAAAACCTCGCCCTTGTCATTATTTACCACCTCCTAGCACAACTCCTACTCAAAAAGAAGACCGAATGGAAAGTTCGAAATCAACTGTCCTTGCATGGAAAACAAGTGAAGGAGGCCGCGTCGTGAAATGAACTGGTTGTAGTTCAGTTATCTCGCTCCTTGGCTGCCAGATGCCACCACCCAAGGCGCTCATGCTGGCATTTCCAGCCATGGACCCTTAAAGAAGGTGGCTTTGCCCAGTGCTGACCAGGTGATTTGCAGTCACTAACTCTGTGGTGGCTTTGGGTGGCAATGGAAGAACACAGTTTGTGGTGGTGAAAACTAACACTCTGAATGTGCTGAAGCATTCTTGTAAGTCTTTTTTCACTAGGACGCCCCTCTCTCCAGTTAGCCCTCCACACAACCCATTACCAACATATGGTGCCAACCCTCATCCGTGATGTCACTCAGCCAGGCTCTCACAGAGCAGGGCATGAAAAACGACTCCCGTGTGGGCTCAGGGCTGGTGACAGCGACAGGCCATCTGCACACCTTCCGGTCCCCTCCCACTCAGGTGAAGGGCATGGCGATGGCCTGGAAGGAACACAAGAGTCTCGGATAGCCCACCACAGCCTTGCGGTCTTCAATGATTCAGCCCTGACGTTGAGTCATTTTGTTTCTTAGAACCTTCCAGCCTCCACCTGTGGTCCAGGAGCCCAGTGTGCACTTGCTGCAGGGACCTGTTCGATGAGGAATTCTGGTTCCGGAGAGGTTCAGTGTTTCAGCTGCATGTCCCCAGCACCCTGCTACTGCCTGAGTGTGGGGTGTGGATGTCAAAGACTGTGATACACAGACAGCAACGTATGTGCACGGGCAGCTTGGGCCGTGGCTGACGCGTGGCTCCAGTCCCCGGTTGCAAGTGTCCATGGCTCTCTTGCACTCCTCCCCCTCGGGTCTGTCCTCCAACCACCAGCAGAAGTGGATCTCTCAGCCTCCGCCTCTCCCGCTTAGTCTCTGTGGCGCGTGTGGCCCCCGAGTTAAGAGCTCACTAAGGTGTAGATCATGCTGAGAGAAAAAAAGGAGAAGCAAAGGCATGAGTGGGAGCCAGCAAAGGGCCCAGGCTGGCTTTCAAAAAAGGGGGGGGGGGAGGATCTTCCCAAAACCAGGCCCCTCGGTTGCTTTCTTAGGCCTGTCATTAGAGGTGACTTCCTGTTACACCCCCAAATGCTTTCCACACTCAGTACCAAATATTTGCTAAAAGAGCATATTGCATGCTTTGGGTAAAAGATGTGATTGTTCTAAGTACCTATTATCCTCACCGGAATGATTATTATGGCGGTTATCCCTCTTCCCTGCAAGGCAGGGCAGGTCCCCGAGCGTGGGGGTGCCGCTGATTCTCTATCCCACCAGCGGCCACGTGCCTCTGTGCCGGCTCTGTGCAGGACCTCCCAGCTTATACCATGAGCTACTGGGGGAACCATGATCCTCACTCTTGCGAGGACTGACCTGTGGGCACAGGCCGCTGGACACTCATGCTACAGTCACTCTTAGTTGACTAATTCCCTGGTCGTCCTGGTTGAAACAAAATCCAAGTATTAAAGATGCATCATGAACAGTGTCTTCAGGTGGTTCCATAATATAATCGAGGAGGGGGATGATGCACCCACCCCTGTGTTCTTAAAAGGGGCTGCAGCCTAATTCTGCAAGGCTGGGGACATCTGTCTATTTGGCAGAGAGAGAAACAACCACCTTCTCACATTTTAAAGACAGAAAGGATAGTCCAATAAACAAAACCAGAAGAAAGAAAGTGGTGTTTTACTTCAAACTCTACCGAGCTGCAAAGCCCCAATGAGCTCTTCTCAGTAGCTATCTGCAAGAACCTGACATACGTCATGTCCCGAGAACACCACTGGTCAGGACTGGAGCTAGAAGGGTCTTACTGGATGAGGGTCAGTGAGAAGTGGGATACTCAAGGTTGTACAGCTAGTGAGGGCAGGGTAAGGAGCCAGAGCCTGATGCCCGCACCAGCGCTCTCTCTGTGACAAAACCGAGCTTCAGGGCAAGGCCTTTGAGGCCTCCCTTTCAGTCACCCACGTGCTCAGTGTTCATTGAAGGCCTCCTGCCAGGCACTCTGGTGGGTTCTGGGAAACAATGGTGAGTGCCCAGACCTGTCCCTGCCTGGAGGGCTGTGCAGTCGTGCTGTGACAAGGGTTAGTGAGCACCTACAGTAGGGTCGGCCCTGGCCAGGGCACTGCAGACACAGGTGAGGCTCCTGCCCTCGAGTAAACCATCGACGACGTCATCATAGAACAAGAGAAATAACCACGAGGAAAGATGAGCGTGACTGGAAGAGAGGGCAGGGGGGTGGTGAGATTTCACGTGGGTGACGGCATCCTCCCAGCAGTGTTCACTTAGAAGATCTTTATCTTGAGGAGATGGAGTTCACACTGGACTCACCAGTGAGAGAGTGTTAGTGTTTGTGCCAGTGCTGGTTTGTGTTAGTGCCAGTGTAAGAACCAGTCATAGTGCCAATCTTAGTGTTAGTGTTGGTGTTGGTGTGAGTGCCAGTGTTAGTGCCAGTCTCAGTGCCATTGTTAGTGCTAATGCCAGTCTTAGTGTTAGTGCCGTGCTAGCACCAGTGTTTGTGCCAGTCTTAGTGCCGGTGATAGTGCCAGTGCTAGTGCCAATGTTAGTGCCAGTGTTAGTGCCAGTGCTAGTGCTAGTGTCAGTGTTAGTGTTAGTGCCAGTGCTAGTGCCAATGTTAGTGCCAGTACTAATGCCAGTGTTAGTGCCAGTGTTAGTGCCAATGTTAGTGTTAGTGCTAGTGCCAGTGTTAGTGTTAGTGCCAGTGTTAGTGCCAATGTTAGTGTTAGTGCTAGTGCCAGTGTTAGTGTTAGTGCCAGTGTTAGCTCTCTCCCATCCCACAAAACCTCCAAATGTCTCCTGTCCCACAAGACACTCTGAGAAGGGGCAGTTGGCACAGTGGTTAGTACAACGGTGAGGAGAGCCCCTGTTCTGGCGGCGGGTAAACCGCTATTAGCTAGGGCCATGGCCACATTTCCTCGCCTCGCCAAGGTCCTAGGAACCTCAAGCTGTGCAGTGCCCTCCCCACTACGGGGTGCCGGCTCTGTCTCCTGAGTCTGTCACTGGGCTCGGCTCCGGGCAGCTCTCAGACACGTGTCTCCTCCCGCCCTCTGAGAATGGCGGGGGCTGGCGGTCCTGCGTGCTCTACCAGCTCTGGGTCCAGGAGACCAGGGCCCCCCGCGGTGGGCAGAGGCAGCGTTTGCAGAGCCCGGAGGGCGCCTACAGGTCAGGTCCAACAAAGAACCCTGGCTGCTGCCGAGAGGCAGAGGAGCGGCTGCCTCCAATTCTGTTTTGGAAACAAGGCAATGAGCGAATGTGCCATGAAGGCAGTGCCAGGCTGAACTGAAGGACTTGGGGACAGACAGTCCAACAGCATGTCTGGAACACAATCGTTTCCAGAACGATCACACGCACCTAACGACTGGCAGGAGCTGCCAACGCAGCCCCCACGCAGGCCTTCCCACCCCCACAGCCCCCCAGAGCTGCTCTGCTTCCTGTCTGTGAATTCACACGCCTTCTTGCCCACATGCCTTGGGCCCCAGCAGTTACTACAGCAACACTGAAAGGAGAGAGCCTAACCTGCCTCAGTCTCCATCTGGATGAAGGTGGACCCCGGACTAAAGGAGCAAGAGCTAGCTTCTGCTCACGGTGGGAAGGCAGCGCACCAGTGGGACAGGCCACTGGGTCCGTGACTGCAGCAGGGCCTGTCTGCAGGAAGAGATTGCACGGCTCCCGTGGAGAAACCCAACTCTGCGTTAGCCTAAGGTTTACGCTGTCCAGGCTGCGAGGACCTGACCCTCCCGTTACTGGTGTCCCAATAGGACCGATAAAGAACTGCCCTAGTTGCTAGAGAGTTCAACTTGGAGAGAGGCTTGAGTGAAGCTTTTGGGCAGCTTGGGACTCTCCAGAGAGGCTTCAAGGACCCTCAGACTCCCTATGAGCAGATAATGTCCCAGGACACCCCACTGAGGAGGAGAAAGAAACAGGTCACTCTGAGCCTGGATCAACACTTGATGCCAAGAAGAGTCAACCAGGCTAACTGAGCCCCCAGAGTTACTCCACAGGAAGCCCTACCTACAGGACCTGAGTGACTTCCAGACACAGGATGTCTGGGAGAGAGGGGAGAGGAGGCTGCTCCAAGCGGCACCTCCAGAGTGGCGGGTCTCCCCATGTGGCGTGACGCCTGGCCCAGAGTTCTCAACCAGTAGCTCGAAGCCCAGGAACCTGCATTCCGAAGGAATGTTCTTCAGCCCCTAAGTCGGGTGCAGGACACCCCAAGACCACATTCTGGTAGATTTTTTCAGCACTGTCCGAGAGACAGCAGCAGCCTTTGGGATGAATGAGAATGGACTCAGAGTTGTGACAGTATTGACCATGGCCACAGGAAAACTGACCTCGCAGATTCATCTCCTTGTTGTGAGCATGTGGACAGTGACAGCACTTAGCTCATGACGCAGCAACACATGTGAAGAGCTTTGCCAGAGTCTCGCACAATTTAGATGTAGCTGCTCTGAGCCGGACCTGAGTGAACCCCGTGGCCTTGAGGCCTGACCATCCCGACTTCCTTTCCTCCCCTGGCCACAGTGAACTGAGCCACTTCAGAGGCAGCGCCAGGATACTTACAGGTAGTGACAGTAAAGCAAGGTGACCAGCGAGCCCCCCAGAGAAGAGTCCACAGAGGGGCAGGGAGAAGGCGGAGGGATTTTCAGAAAAGGCACTCTCCGGGGCATCAAACCATAAGACAAGCTTTTTATAGCCATCTGCTTACTGGGATGTTTTGAGTAAAAAGGTGAGAAGAGGGGAGATTCCTGAAACAACTGCCATGTCAGCGTGCTTTTCTTAATTGCAACGCTGTTATGTAATATTGGGGGAATTGTAAGTGTCAGCATTTAATGACCCAACATCACCTTGATGAAACGTGACAACTGCTGGGGTCTTTGTTCTGGTGCCCAAGATGCCAACACACAGTCTGGAGACAAGAAGCACAAGGCTGTGCAGCTGCGGCTGCTGACCAGCCGCGCCTCAGCGTCCCCGAGGCAGGGAGCAGGAGTCACAGCCAACATCTCCCTCCCAATGCCAACATCTCCCGCGAGATGTGGCAGGACATGCCGTCAGCAAAGCCTCCAGCTCAGCCTACTGCTCCCCGAGTTCTTTCACACAGAAGCCCTTGCTCTGAAACCACTCAGCTGAGCGTAGAACTTGTAGCCCACCTGCCGAAGCCCAGGAGGCCGGCCTCACTCCCTCTCTTTGCTGCAGGAGTCAAACACACCGCAGAGGGGCAGAACTCACCAGTAAAGGTAGTAGAAGAAGGAGAGGAGATAAAAGGCCAGCTTACACCAGGCCTCCTTCTGACAGTAACTCAGGGTGTCTGCATTCATGACCACAGGCGGGTCGTATGCTAGTTCAGAACTATCTGCCGGGCAGTGGAAATACCTGTAGGGAAAGAGGACACGGCGTCATTGCCTCCGAGTCTCGGAAGGGCCATCAGAGGCAGGACTTCCCTTGGGGAAGCACTGGAAGCTGCTGTCTGCCTCCTCCTGACACAGCCCAAACACTGCTAAGAAGAGACTCAAGCAACCTTCCAGCAGGTGGTGACCCCGCGGGTACTCAGGCCCAGGGGCTTCGTGGTGATTTCACCCACATGCAACAGCACCCGGTGTTACCTGAGAGGTACCAGGAGGCACCCCGCTTCTCCACAGGGCAGAAAGGCCGAGACGGTGTGTATTAATGGGGATGTGCAGACAGCCCAGTGCAACCCCACTGCCCAAACGGCATTCTCCCATGGTCCTGACCTGGTCGTGAGCAGAGGTCAGTAAACACTGACCTCTACTCAGACCCTCACTTGAAATCCTGAATATGCTTGAGAGGGTCATCATATTCCCACTTAAGAATGGGATCATTTACAGGTACTTTTCATCTTGATAGAAAAATCGAGAACAGCAAAATGAGCACTAGTCATATGGGGGAGAGAGCAGCCCCTAAAACAGTGGGCAAAAGTGCAGAGGGAGGAGAAGGGCCAAAGCAAGCTTTGTCGCTTCAAAATATCACATCAGCTCGAGGGGAGCCAGCATGTTCAAAAGACAGGAGCTTTCCAGCTTGGTGAGACAACGCAGGAGGCTGAATCCCAGGCGCCTCAGCCTGTGAGCTGGTGGAGCAAGGACCTGTCCTCTGGCCTCGATGGGTATGCCCCCTGGGGCCTTGGTCACATACTCGTGTGAGGCTGAGGACGAAAAGCAGCTGAAATGGCTCGTAGGCTGCTTTTTTTTTGCCCAATGGTGAAGGATTAGGAGGCCATGGGTGCCAAGGATGGCTCCTACAAGCCTCGGGGGCAGGCTGCGGTTCTTGATCATCAACAAGGACCAGGAGAGTGGACTCTGGCCAAGAGATCAGTCACACTGGCTCTGAAGAACATTCCTGTAACACAGCAACTTACAGAGACTCTGGTTTCTTCTTCCATCCCCCTGAGAGGTTTGCCCTGACATTTTCTGTCATCTACACTGAGGAGGCCAGAGTCAGTGACATCTGCCAACTTGCAGCCTCCAGGCCCCTCACCTCTCCTCTTCCCAAGAGCAGATTTCAAACCCTGTTTGCTTCAGCTGTGGCCTTGCTCCCAGATGACCTCATTATGAGGAGCAGGAAGGCCAGGGGACTGCCACTCACTGGCCACAGACCAGCCTTCCTGGATCAGTTGCTAACCTCTCTCAGCCTCCACCCTCTCATCTAAGTGGGGATGAAACTGCCCAGTCACGGGACTGCTGTGTGATGTGTGAAGTGAAGGGGGCAAAAACGTGCAAAAAAACAGGCACTGACAAAGGCAGGCAGTTCCTCTTTTGTTTGAGCAAACAGAGCAGAGAGGGGCCTGATGGCAGGAGGAAGGTGGCGGGACTGGAAGAGAGCAGGAAGAGAGAGGGAGTGGGAGAACTCTGATTTTTACAGGACACCTCCCCATTTCTTCACTTTCTGAGCAGTTGCAAACTGTCAGGGCTTCAAAAGCAATAATACAACATCTTCACCACCACCAAAAAGATTGCAGAGACTCTTCTCGTACAGGCCAAACATTCCAAGTGAAGGACATTGGATTGCTCTCCCTCCCTCCTCTTGGGATGAGCAAAAGACATAACTTCGCAAATTGCTCAAATGTAAGCCCCCCGGACTGGCAGTGCACTCTTGGGAGGACAGGGGGATACAGCAGGAAGGAGCAGCCCTGGGGCAGTGCCCTGGTGCCAGTGCCGGCGTGCAAGGACATGGCCTGCACCCACCAGAGGTGAGCGTGGACGCTGGCCCTGCCGTGTCCTGGCTGACAACCCTGGGCAGTGACCAGAGCTCTGTGAGATGCTGTGTCCCTGTGTGCAAAACAGACCAAAACAACTACAACACCCAGTTGTGGGTCCTGGATGAGGAAAGTGTGGAAAGCCCTTCAGCGGGTACACAACACATTTCCACACCCCCGCCTCTATTTGACTTCTCTGCTGGAGTTTGCATTTCTGTGGGTTACCTGTCATAAAGCAGGACTCTCCTATGTATTTGGGTCATTTTCCTCATGCCCAAACCTGCGATTTCTTCTGTCCTCCTGGTTTTGGTCAATGGCACCATCACCCTCCCAGTCTCTCAATCGGGTTCCCCAGTGGCCAAGGTCTGTCCAGTTGCCTCCATGGCTCCTCTCCCCTCTCCAGTCAACTTCCACCACCTAGTTCAAACCCCATCATCTCTTCACCTGAAATTTCACCATCACCTCCTGGACAGATTCTCCCTCATAACTGTCACCTTGAATCCATCCCTTGGATTGATGTCAGAGTTGTGTTCCTAAAAGTCAGTTCAGGTTAGCTTCTGAGACTGCCCGCTCCCCACAGAGCAAACTAACTCCAACTTTGGCCCAGCTGTCTGTCTGCCAATGACTAGTCACGTCCCTCCAAGAATCCTTCATCCAACCACACTCTTTCTCTCCAGCTGCTGTCCTCTTACCGCCGGCCCTAAGCATACACTAGTCCTTCAACCTGAAATGTGCTTTTCTAGATGTTCACACGTGACACAAGCTATGCGACAGCTATCGTCTGACAGATTCCGGGTAGCTCGGGAAAAGCTCTGAAAGATCAGACTTTCCATGCTAACTTATGTTATGACCTCCCTTTTTTGTATAATCGTAATATCAAAATATTCTGAGCAACTTTCAGCCTACAAGTGGATTGCCTCAACTGCATAAGGCCTGCCTGCCCTGACAAGCAAGCACTGCACCAGGGTGAGAAATTCCTCTGAAGTCAAAAGTGACTTAACAACTGGCTGATCAATAAAAACAAAAGGGCTGTTTCTGCAAAGTCTCTCACTGCTGGACCGAGGAAAACCCAAATCTTACTCTGCTATCTCACCTTGCCTCCTTCTACAGAATTACTTAAACCTCCTACTGTCTGGCTTTAGATATGGAAATTCATCCAGGTTGCCTGTTTTAGAGCTAGTCAAGTTTTTTACCTGCTACACTTCAAAGCAATCCACAAAAGTCTTTCTGGCTAGTCTTTCAGGATTCTACTATCTAGTCTTTAGATAAGCAAATTTACCTACATCTCCTATTCAGAGCAACTTATGCCTAGACCTCAAGGAAACTTACTTAAAACCTTTTAGCAAGCTTCTTCAAAGTAGAAAAACTTACTTGAAACCTTTTAGCAAGTTTCTTGATTAGCAAGAAATTTCCTCTTCCTGAGACCCCAGACCATTTTCTTAGAAAAAAGGTGATTGTGATCTTAACCCCTTTCGTATGCTAATGTCATCCCCCTGCCTGCTGGAAATGTATAAAATAAACCTCTGCTAAAGGCAGAGCAGGAAGATTTGCACCCAACTCCGACTGGACTCCCGTGTCTTCCTCACTCCCACTCCTCTCCCCCTCTTGGAATCTCCGCAGGCCGACGCCTTCCCATCTTAGGGTCCTGCCTGTGTTGCCTCCAGACACCTCAAAAGTGGAGCTGGTCTCCGACACACACGTGATCTCCCAGTCCAGTTAAGTGCCTTTTTCTATACACGCCAACACACATTCCCCAAGTATCTACTAACAGACTTCCCTCGGCCACTAAAGTGTATATTCCTCGAGGAAAGGCTCTATGTTACATTCATGTTGGAATCTCATTCCTGGCATCAGCATGTGTTCATAGGTTTAATTCTACATGAAGGAATTAATAGTCCAGACATAATTAAATATAGGTTATATTTTATAATAAGAGAAAATGATGAAATGTTTTAAGGGGCCAAAATTCTGGGAGTAAGGGGTGAAGAGTAGTTAATTGCACAACTGCACTCTTCTGATCCCTCCCCGCCTCCTATATACATAGTGACAATATTTTACAAAATCCCAAATCATAGAAACTGATACGTGGCCTTAACAGGGAGTTAATATTTAAAATCAGAACTATCCCAGAAAAATCTAGCCCCTCTGGTAGGTATATTTATTCTATGGAAATATAATTCATGCACCATAAAATTTACCCTTTCAAAGCATACAGTTCAGTGGGTTTCCCTGCATGGGTAGAGTTGCACTGCTATTTCCAGCTTCTAATTTCCTCACATTTTCATTGCCCTAAAAAGAAAATCCTCTATCCACAGGAGGTCTCTCCTTTCCAGGCCTGGGCAACCACCAATCTCCTCTCTGTCTGTAGATCTGTCTACTGTGGACATTTTATAGAAATGGCCTGTTGAGACTGGCTTCTGACACTCATAATGTATTTTGAGGTGGATACATGTTATAGTATACACCAGTACATCAGCGCTTTGGTTGCCAAATACTCTGTTATAAGGATAGACCACATCTTGTTTATTCACGCATCTTTTGAGGAACATCTGGGAAGTTTCCATTTGGGGGCTATTGTGAAGAGTGTTGTGGCTGCTTTTAATACTGACCTTCAAGAGTTTAGGCTGTGCCTGCCTAGTAGTGAAAGGGTTAAACTGTAGCACTGCAAGTGAGCCACAGCCACTTCAATGTGAATTCGATCCCCAGCCTTGGAGGTGACCCACATGGCACCGCAGACCTCTCCTGTCTTGCCCGCTGCTCCCCTCAGCAGTGTACTTCATTGATCTGCCTCCACTCTGCTCCCCACTCTGTCTCTAGTGAAGCCTCTCACCACCCCTGCACCTCTTGCCTGTACCCCAGTTCTGTATGTATAAATAAATCTTAAAAAAAAAAAAAAAAAGGAGTTTAGGTCAAGGTTAATGGAGTGGATGGAGTGGGTGAGAGGAGCCTTCCCAGGTAGGCCACACTGAGAGTAGCTTGGGAAGAAGGCTCTGGAGAGGGCCCCCAAAAGTAAGGGAAGACAATAAGGTGGCTGATTCATTTGGGGCCATGGTCTATGGAGGGCCAGCAGCCAGGCAGAAGAGAGGAGGGACAGACCAGAGCCAGGTGGACTTACCTCCAGAAGTGATAGAAAAGTAATGGGACATTCAGCCCCAGGGTGAGCCACTCCTGTGCACACAGGAACATGATGCAGAAGAGACTGTGGATGGAGTATTCTGGCAGCACCAGCTGAAGAAGGAGCAGAGACAAGACCTGTGTTAGTGGAAGGAGCAGTCACTCCTGCCTTGGCAACAGCTGACTTCTGCTGCACACAAACTCTGACCATTAATGACATGCTGCCACAGCAAATTCATGGTCCCACGACTGTCTTCCATGTTCTCTAGTAAGTTCTCTGTGTTATAGTCCAGAGCCATGCTTTATACCCACACCAAATGGACAGAGGCCTCAGCATCAGCACCCCACTTAATAAAATGCTGCACTTGCTTCTTGGGGTCACCATGGATGACACCAGGAAGACAAGAGGGTCCAGCCTCCATGAGGTCTTAACTGAGGCAGGACCCACTAGGAGAAAAAGTAATAGGGTTTCTAGTGATTCTTAACTGCCTTGGTCTTGTTTTTCTAGTCCTGGTGTATCTTCCTAGAAGATCATAAATCTAAAGTGAATACAGGTGTTTCATTCAAATAGGGAGGAATTGAGAAAAATAACTGAAACCTGCATTTTGCTTGATGATGGGCAACTCCAGAGAAGCCCGGGAGAAAGAACACGCACTATCGATGAAAGAGGAAAGTGTAGCCTCCGGAGGAAGAGGAAGGAAACCCACCCGCGCCAAGAAGGGTCAGGTGGACATGGAGTAATGGGCAGAATAAACTCTCATGCCCCCACTGACCCGCACAGATGTAAAAGGTTAAAGAAAAGATTGACATGATAGTGAATACCCTCCTAAGCAAGGCTGTTTACAACAGAAATCAGAGTTGTAACAGAAAATCAAAGGAAAAAGTCGGTCCCTAGGTAAGCAATAAGGAAAATCAGAGATGCAAATGCACCATCTTTCTCAGGCACGGAGTGTGTGTGTCTGTATGGTGTCTGTAGACAGTCGGGACCACAACAGACGCTGCAGGCCTCCGAGCTCACCTTTCGAGGATCATTCAAGGGCTATCTCAAAGGCCTCTGCTCGCCAGCAGCTCCCCTGGTCCCGCCTCACCGCACTCCCCCACATAGTGCTTCCCAGCCCTCCTGGGGCGCTTGCCACCACCCATCCACAACAGTCACTCTCCTCCCCTGTCCCCCCCCACACAGATCAGCTCTGCAGCTCTCTAAGCTGCTCACGAAGCTCTCATCTCCATCCATCTCCACCTGCAAAGTGCTTTGCGCCGTGCCTGGCACTTAGTAAAGATTTGAAAAATAAAATGCACTGATCAAGTGCATTTGCTTGTACTGTGGCTGACACCATACTACACACACACACTCTGTGCCTGAGAAAGATGGTGCATTTGCATCTCTGATTTTCCTTATTGCTTACCTAGGGACCGACTTTTTCCTTTGATTTTCTGTTTCAACTCTGATTTCTGTTGTAAACAGCCTTGCTTAGGAGAGTGTTCACTATCATGTCTTGTCTGGGTGTGAAACCAACTGCCTCACAATGTCCCTTTCGGTAGAGAAGATGACATGGTCTCCTTCGTCTCTCGCTTCAGTCAGATGTACTAACTGCCCCAGATGACAGATCCAGAGAGAGACATGCACTAAAAATCAGTGCATGCTGAGGTGCACGGGTAAGAAATGCATGTTGGAACCACAGGTCTTGTTTATTCTCAAGTCTGATGGAGAGTGAATTTCACTGGCCCACACCTTGGAATCAACAACAGAGAATGAGGAGAGGAGCTGTTACTCCAGAGACAGCCATAGTGAGCAGACCCAGCAGTCTGTCCCTGAGCAACTCTACCCACTCAGGGGAGGGGCTATATCCCACGGTGTCACCTCCAGGACTGAGATACCCCTGAGGACCCCATCTGTGCCTCCCTGCCTCCTCTCATTTAGACAGAAAGTGCATGCTCAGCGCTGGCAGGCAGGCCCGGCTTAAGAGTAGTGGCTGTGACTTCTGCCATGTACGTCTCTACATGCTTAAATCACTAGTCCCGGCCTGTGGAGTTGAGGTCATTAACATGCTCAGAGACAGCCACCGAAGATCTGAATCATCCCTAATTGCACCATCCCCACCCCCAACTCCAGTGACAAACCTCTGACTGATTGGTCTGAATTCCAGGTCCCCCCATTAATCACCACTGCTTCCTCCCTCTTTGGACTTGACTGATAATGCAAGCTGCAACCTTCCGAGCAGGGAGGATTCGTCACTGTCACCATGTTGAGGAAAACTTCCATGGTGCCAGCTGGTTCCGGAGGTCCCCAGTCTTTTGGGTGGGTGGAAAAGAAGCTGAAGGATTTGTCTTGCGTTTCTGGGTGGCTTCTCCTAATTGCCTTGTATTGTGACTGAGCGGGATCCTCAGAAGTCGGAGAGAAGCCCCCAGCCAGCGGGTCCAGGGAGCAAAGATGCACTTGCACACGCCCTTAGCTTTCTCCTGGTTCCCCAGACTATCGTGGTTCCACACGGAAGATACAGAGAACCTACTCCTAGCCGGATGCAGATGGGCCAGGCCGTCTGCACAAGCTTGCCAGGGGTCTTTATTGCCAACCTGTACACTCTTCCAGCATCCATTTGGGGACCCAGTAACACCGCATTTCTTTTGTTTATTTATTTATTTATTTTTATTTATTTTGCATACAGAACTGGGGCAGAAGTGCAGGTGCAGGGGCGGTGAGAGGCTTCATCAGAGACAGAGTGGGGAGCAGAACAGACAGATTGACAAAGCACACTGCTGAGGGGAACAGCAGGTGGGTCAGGAGAGGTCTGCTGAGCCATGTGGGTCACCTCCGGGGCGGGGATTGAACTCGCACTACCGTGGCTGCTGCTAGCTTGCAGTGCTGTGCTTTTAACCCACTGTGCCACCAGGGGTGGTTGCAAGGCCACATTTCTTAGCTCCCAGTCATTGAGAAGGGCTGACAGGGGAGACAAGAAATGATGTGGAGAGAAGGCTGAATCACTGCATAACCATCGTAAAGGACTCCAGAGTCTCCATCTTCCCCCTCTGACATAGCAAAAAGTCTTTAGGGTGGTGGGCACGCCACCTTCCTAAAGCCGTAAGTGAGGACAGGAGCCCTTCGCTACAGATGATGAACAAAAACCATGAGCAAGAAAGAAACATATGATTTTAGGCTAGTGAGATTTGGGGGTGGCTTTACAGCACACTTTAACCTGCCTGGTCTGGACCAGAAGAGTAATCAGTGGCAAAAGCAAAGTGGTGTCCATTGTCCTTCCTGACCAGCCAGCCAGCCCTTCCTTTACAAGCTGCCTGTGCTCAGAGACAGGCCCAGGGACCACCAGACAGGCATCAGGCTTACTCATTCACTCTGAGCTCGTCTAGTGGTCACGTAAACACCACCTCCAATCTACCAGGCATTCTACAGAAACACATGGAAGCATTGACCGACCCCGAGTGATCTGCAGCACTGGAAAGCTCTTGTGAAAATCGTAAGAGAAACTGTTGAATGTACCCATCTCATTCCTTCACACAGCACAAGGGAGCTCCGACACTCAGTCCAGGGCCTATTGAGTTCCCAAGTCCTGCAATCTGTATTGTGATAAATACCAAATAAGTGGCCTCAATACAGATACTGTGGGTTGTTGAAAGCCTATAACACATTCCAACCAGGAGGGCTCACAGGTTTTATGATCAAGGTGGAATCAAGGGTATTTGGAAAGGATGAGTAAAACCTTATCACACACGCACGCCAAAGGCCAGCATTCAGGAAGAGGAACCGTGAGAGCCAGAGCAGAAAGCTGAAAGTCACTGCTCTGCCTTTTAATGGTATTAAGATCAGACCTGGGGCCCTCCCTGGTGGGCTGTGAAGCTGTCTGCAGTCACTGCAGCATGAGTTCAAGACCCAACCCAGGAGCTGACCCACATGGCGCAGCAGACCTCTTCTGACCCACCTGCTGCTCCCCTCAGCAGTGTACTTCAGTCCATCTGTCTGTTCTGCTTCCCACTCTGTTTCTGGTGAATCCACTCATCCCCCTCACCTCTGGCCTGTAACCAGTTCTCACATGCATAAAAATAAATAAATTTTTTTTTAATAATCAGGCCTGACTTGGCCCTCCCTGGTGGCGCAGTGGGTTAAAGCACTGCACTAAGAAGCTGAAACCACTTCCGCATGAGTTCGATTCCCACCTGTCCTGGAGGTGACCACATGGCGTGGCAGACCTCTCCTGACCCGCCCTCTGCTCCCCTCAGCAGTGTACCTTGTCGATCGGCCTGTTCTGTTTCCCATTCTGTCTCTGGTGAAGCCTCTCACCACCCCTGAGCCTCTGGCCTGTACCCCAGTTCTGTATGCACAAATAAATAAATCTTTTAAAAAATAATAATAATCAGGCCCTCCCTGGTGGCGCAGCGGGTTAAAGCACAGCACTGAGACGCTTAAGCCACTTCTGCACGAGTTCGATCCCTGCCTGCCCTGGAGGAGATCCACATGGCGCGGCAGACCTCTCCTGACCCACCCACTGCTCCCCTCAGCAGTGTACCTTGCCCATCTGCCTGTTCTGCTCCCCACTCTGTCTTTGATGAATCCTTTCACCCTCCATGTCTCTGGCCTTTACCCCAGTTCTGTATGAAAAAATAAATAAATCTTTAAAAAATACTACTAATAATAATAATCAGGCCTGACTCAAACCCAAGACTAGATAAATGTCTACTTTACTCCCCTCGCACAGGACTGGGCACTGGAGTTTCCTGTGGGATGATATGACAATAGGATCATAGCGACCTCCCCCCTCCCCCCACTCTGCCCCTGCTCTGATGCACACAGAGACCAAAGGTGAAGTTCTAATAACACACGAGCAGAGAAGACCTCAAAGCTTTCACCCCCAGTTCTTCTGTCACTTCTAAGAGAATGGATGTTGCCTCTGTTGAGGACCAGCTGTTCTTATCTCCTACGTTTTAGTCTGCAGTTTCCACTTCCTGGCACAAATTGCCATCCAGACAATCCACAATTACTCCGTGTTGGAAATTTACACTCCATCCAGTCTGCACAAATTTATCCCCTACATTTTCAAATTCTGCAAACAGTAACCATCTCTGACATCTCCGTCTCATGCATTTCCACACTGGCCTCTTGCCAC